ACTGAAGGTATACTATTGTAGCTGAGCAAGGTGACCGTCAGCGTTCACGGCACCGTATTTCTTCATTGATTCTAAATTCCATTCTGTATATTGCTGGTCTTGTATTAGTATTTAGATCTTTAGATGCTCGTGGCTTGTGACACCCCGATTTCGGGCTGAGTCGGGATGGTTTCCATTATTCTATCATGTTTACTTCGCACTTGTGATTATATTATCTGCGAATTAGACTTATTCCTGCTAAGTAATTATAAAGAGATGTATTGTTTTGTTGTTGGCTGGCCTTGTCCCCACGAGAGGTGCCATCACGACCGGGTTGGGATTTTGGGTCGTGACACTAATGATGTTCTTTCATTTTAAATTCACGTATTATGCTAATGTAATATTATTTTCTAGCTGTTAGATGATTTAAATGTTTAAACCATCACGTGCCATTATTAACGTGCAACGCACGTTCATAGATACTAGTTATTATAAAAGCATGAATACGATGTTGGAAGACCAAAATAGCCCTAAAATATAACTATATTATTGGATATAATAGTAATATTGTTATTTTCCTTTTTCTTTTGAGTTTAGTTTGAATTAGGAGAAAGAGCGTGTCTCGGAATTCTATTCTAATTGGTTTATGATTCAAAATTAACTTTTCCATTTTTAGTTTATGTAGCAATTGAATCATTCATTATTAGGAGCAATGTAGCTTCAAAGGGTATAAAATACCGACTATATGAGCGGACAAAGGAGAGAATATAGGACACGGGAATTTAATTAAAGTTTTAATAATGTCTAATTTAATTTCAAGAAATAAAATATCTAGAGTATTAGCCGTCCTATTTACTTTCAAGGGAGAGAAGATAGTACAGAGGAATTAAATTAATTTATGTTTCTAATTGATATATTAATATTGTATTTACGTTTGTATAATAATATAGGCTCTTCTTTTTCTAAATGGATTTGAACAATATTATACATTCTCAAATTTAATTAGTAATAAGAATTTTTAAGAAATATATCCTAAAAAATAGGATTACATGACTAAAAATATTTACTTGTTCAATTTTAAATGAATTAGACAGCCGGAAAGTAATTATACTAATATGATTCCTAACATTACAAACATAAAGATCTAAAAGTGAAATGTCATATCAATCTTTTACTATTTGAAAATAAAATTTATGGTGGATAAAATTATAATTACGATTAAATGTTCAAAACAAGATATGAACTAATATTAAGACCTCAATCAACGTATAATAAGTTATTTTTTATGTTAAAATCAAATAACTAAATCTTTTAATTAATTATTTAGCAAGAGAATCCAATTCAATTTTTGTTTAAATTTATCATATGAGTAAAATTCTTATTCAAGTTAAAAAAAATCTTAGGGTACATAAATTTATTCCATAAAAAAGCGTTAGAACACAGAGTAAAAAGGTTAGTATATTATTAAGAATCAAAAACACAATAGGAAGCACAATCAAAGCTAAGTCCTAAACAAGAACAAACTTACAAAACTATATTATAAAGAGTCGACTCTAGTATAACAGGATTATTCTTTGTAGATGCATCCGGCAGAATCAAAATAATATTTCTATGTCATGAATTACTTGCAAATATCATATTAAGAGGCATGTCACTCTTAGCAATAATAGCAAGTGGTGTACCAACGATGATTTTATTGCGAGGCCATCCATTTTAGATTTGATATACATCTTCAAACAATTTAAGTAACCATCACAAATATAAGCAGATCATTGGTGCTAAATTTATAAGGAATGCAAAATGGATAATATGGGATGAAACACTTATGGCTAAGTGTCAAACGATTGAAATAATTGCCCGGAGTCCTAGATATATATTGAATATTAATGAACCATTTGGTGAAACATTAATAGTTTGAGAGGTGATTTCCGTCAAGTATTATTAGTAGTTCCAAAATCGACAAAAGCATAGACTGTAAAAGCTAGCTTGCCAAAGTTATACTTCTGGCCCCATACGAAAAAGATTCAACTTACAAGAAATATAAAGTAAGAACAGATCCAATATTCAATATCTTCTTGCTTCGTGTCAAAAACGAAGAAGAGCATCCAATAAAAGATGATTCGATTCTTCCTAAAAACTTGATTATCAATCTCAATGGTAATAGTAGTATATTTAATAAGAGAAATATTTTTATCATTAGATTAAAATGCAATCTGTGCAAATCACATGATAGAATTAAAAAGACATATTAGCTAGCACAAATGAATATATTGATCAACTAAATAAAAGGTTGATTGCCAAATTTTATTGTAAAAATAAAATATTTTTCAATTTTTGACTCAGCAGAAAATGATACCAATAATTACTATCAAGAAGAATACTTAAATACTTTAATATCAAATGGCCTTATGTCATACATGTTTGTTGTCAAGTTTCTTATTTCTTATGTATGTTAGTATCACCATATATATATAATAGACTAAGTTAAAATTGATTTTTCATTGTATATAGGTTAACTTTGAAGAAAAATATGCCTGTCATACTACTGAAAAACTTAGATATGCCGAATAGCTTATGCAATAGTACACTGATGGTATATAGAAGTTTTGACAATAACGTCATACATGCAAAAATTATGATACTGATTAATGTGTTTCTAAGTATATTCTTATCTCTGAATTAAACTTTAGTCTTCTGAAACTAAGGAATATTCTTTTAAATTTGTATGAAAATAATTTTTAGTATGTTTATGTTTTGCAAATATAATAAATAAAGTAAAAGGGCAAACATCCTAAATATTGGACTATATTTACCACAATATATTTTCTTGCATGAACAATTGTATGTTGTACTTTCAAGAGGGATATCAAGATCGACAACAAGAGTTCTGGTTAAGGCAGAGCAACAAATGCATTAGGAGGAAACATACACACAAAAATATTGTTCACAAAAAGTGTTCGTTAAGATACCATCACATTAAATACTTTTAAACTATAATATATAATTATCTAACTAACATGACAAAATTAATCATTTGTGTAAGTTTTTATGATGTCCTTTTATTTTAAAGTCATGTATTATGCTAATGTAATTATATTTTTCAGCATTTCGATGATTGTTGTATTATTACACATAAAATTTCTTTCATTAATAAAATTTTATTGTTCCCTTATATAAATAAATATTTAAATCATCACGTGCCATTACTAACGTGCAACGTACGTTCATAGATACTAGTTATATTAAAAACAGGAACCCCAAATTAAAAAAGTCAAATTACTTTTATACCCTTCTTAATAAAAAAAACTAGCGCAGAAAAATCCCAAACCTATGCTTACCCATACGAATCGATGTGTTGATTCAGAGAACTTCATTACTTATCCATGTCAAGAGATGTCGCTCTTAACATAAAACCTCTTAACCTCCAATCCAAGTGAAAATTTCTTACCTCCAATGTAGCAGTGAAACTTCTCCTCAAAATTTCCTCTTCTCGAAGTCTAGGGCTCAATATGAAAGAATGGGTAAAAGTCCCGAAATAACATCTTAAATAATCTGCCCAGAAGTTCTCTTCGCGAACGCGGCACAAGTCTCGCGTTCGCGAGGCACAAAATGTTGTTGCTTAGGAAAATATACTATACAACCACAAAAGAGCCCACACGATCACGAAGGTTTGCTGCTCCCATAATATCGCGAACGCGTCTGACTAACCGAACATGATGACGAGCACCAACCACGTTCTCCCACTATGCGAACCCGAACAAAGACACGTAGGAGTGTCAATGGATATTCGAAAACCGACTAAATCGACCGAACTGTACCACACCGAACCAACTTTTAGGTTTCTTTTTAAGAAACCGTAGATTTTTATATAAATCTATAACTGCACCGATAATTAGGATAAGTTTTTTATTTTATAAAAATAAACCCAAAAAATATCGAACCATACCGAATAAATTTTACATGTAAAAAATATATTTATCTAGTAAGTATAAAAATTAATAATGCATTAAATTTTTTCTTTGGGCCTTTGAATTATCAAAACTATTACGAGCCAACAATAATCAAATCTCATAAGCTATATCGACTTCCCGTCGACGACGTGAACCTCTCCACTAAGCTCAGCCGCAACATCTCCCTCTCCATCCCCTGCGTCGCTTCTCCTATGGACACCGTCACCGAGACCTCCATGGCCGTTGCCATGGCGGCGCTCGGCGGAATAGGTATGGTTCACTACAACAACACTATCTCTCAACAAGCATCCATCATCCTTGCTGCCAAATCTCATAAAATCCCTTTCTCCGCCGACTTAATCTTCGCTACTCCCTCGGATTCAATCCATTCCGCCGATGAATTCGCTAACTCCCCTTGCATTTTCGTCACCGAGTCAGGGAACAAACAATCCAAACTGTTAGGACACGTGTCAAAGTCTGATTGGAAGAACTTGAGCAATAAGGAAGCTAGGATTTCTGCTTATATGAACACTTCTCCCGTTACTCTGCCTTCGAGTTATGATTTCAATGACGTGGCAGGCTACATGGCATCTAAAAAGCTGGACTTTGTTGCATTAGTAAACGAGGAGGAGGAAAACGGGGAAGTAGTCAATTTAGTGACGAGTGCTGACACGGAGAGAATAAAGGGACTTCCGAAATTGGGTTTGCCATCTTTAGGGGAAGACGGGAAGTTCTTAGTGGGGGCAGCGGTGGGGACGAGGGAATCAGATAAAGAGAGGCTGGAGCATTTGGTGAAAGAAGGGATTAATGCTGTGGTGATTGATAGCTCGCAAGGGAATTCGCTGTACCAGATT